GTCGTCCTACGTGAGAAACCTGCCTGTGACGTGCAAGTTACATATTAGATAGTTCAGATTCTTTCCCTCCATGTGAAAATAATAACATATAAGTTGAAATAAAACTCCACATCAGGTCTCTACAAGAGGCTCGGTTTCCACGGAGCGAGTCAGTGGTACTCCCTCCGTCTCTGAACCTTCCTCTATCAGTTTCTCCTCTTCCTCTGTTTCCAAACTCACACTCCTGGAATGTGAGAGTGTAATTTTGTTTACAGGACAAATATGAGCAGCACACAAACTCGCAGGCTGCTCCGAGACTCATATCATCACAGAAGATTTCAGGGGAAATTCATAATTCATCGACTAGTCTGCAGCGCATCAGTCATTAATGAAATATAACATTCATCAGCACAGGATCTAATGAAAAGAATAAGTGAGGATCTTAAAGTGCTTACACCTGGAACCACCTGGATCAAAAAGCCCATGGTGTTTTTACATGGGATTTTGGATTACTGTAGAAATGAAGCTTTCCAACAAACTAAAGTTTATTATAATTCCACATTTGTAGTCTCATTGAGACACTCGTTAGCAACCAGCCTGACGTAACATCACGACTCAGATATTTACTCACGTATTTTATCGTCGCAGAATGAAACATGAACCGGAAGTGCTAAAATGAAAACTAATTTCTCTATTAGATATAATCTGACAAACTTGCATTGAAAGCAAAGAAGAGAAATATTGTTTCACCTTCATCTTTGTAATAATAATTGGAGGAATTTGTCCACACTTCACACTTTCTACACCGAGTTATTCACATCTACTGGCTCCAGCTGCATCTTTCTCTTCACAAAGCAACGGTGGAAAATTCCCTCCCTGGCACGCCGACTCTAAATGCCTCCCCTTCCAAAAAGGTCTCTACGGATTATTCTACATGTGGGGTCTCCGCGACAGCCCTCCACATCCGGCCTCCCACGGGGAAAATCTCACCCAGACAAACGGCGGGGAGAAAGCCGACACAGATCCCCAGATTACTGGACTCGGCTAATGACTGTTTGGGGACAATGACATAAGCGACGTGTGGGAAATAAATAAGCATGAAAGAGTGAGATTAAGACAATGAAGCGTAGTTTTCCCACCCTGTGGGATTTGAACGCACGTGTACATGTACACAGAGTGGATACTGCAGATGTGTAAACGCGGTGTCAGTGATTTGTGTGTGTGTGTGTGTGTGTGTGTGTGTACAGTGTGTGAACGTACAGAGAGAGAGAGGCAGAGGCTGTCAGGTTGAAGTGGGTGTGTGAGTGTGTGTGTGTTTGGGATTAGCGTATTGACATCTGACTGACAGCAGGCGAGTGTGGCCTCCTCCCCCCTCCGCCAGCATCTTATATAATGGGGATCAATTAGTGAAGAGCAAGTCCTCTAGGACCGGAGACACAGCTCTCCTCCATCACTCTCTCCGAGCACAAGGTCACAGCTGTTTCAAACATCCTTTGACCTTCCTCCTCTTTCCTTTTCAACTCTCTCCTCTTTATGTTTTACCTTTCTCATGAATAAGACGGGTAAAATAACAAAGATGAAATAAGTCATATTAATCGGGGAAAAAAAAGACCTGTTAATTTCATGGTAAAACTTTATTTAATTAATACCACGGACGCTTCAGTTGTTGATTTTACTTCACCATTAAAAGCACCAATAAACCTAAAACAGCAGCCGCCTCACCCCCACTACTTACATGACTACTTCTCCCTTCTGTATGCATATCAAGTGAATATTTGGTGAACCAGATATCTAATCTTTATCCCTTCAGTAATGTAATTCACCCCGTTTCAAACTGACTTCAGGTCTTTTAACAGGCTGCACGATGGACAGAACTACAGCCGCATTTTCAGTGTAGCGACTTTCACCACCTCCAGTCTGGCGCTGCACCAAATCGGGATCTTTAAACCCTTAAAGAAGCCGCCTAATCTCCTTGTAGAGTTTAATTGACTTTGGATCACTTGTGACTTCCAAACTGTTGTTGGTGTAACAACACACATTACTCAGTTTTTACCTTCTCTTGACCGCCTGGTCTCAGTATCTGTCAATTAATTCCCGCCATGTGGTTTCTACTGCATAATTGTTGTGAACAGCATATTTTATCTTGACAGTCATAAACTTTGTCAAAGCACAACTTGGGGAACGTTGGCTTTGAAGCTTTAGTGAGGATGCAATCATAAATTAACCATATTATGTACTTACCTAACAGCAACTGCTGCAACAGCTTGTTGTGCTCAGAGGAAAACATTATAATGACAGCTTCAGGGGGAGAGAGAGAGAAGGAGACTATCACTGCCTTATGGTGAATATTATAAAGAGAAAAACAAAAATATAATGTGCCTGTGCCTTTTTCTCCTCAACTGATCTGTCATAGTAAAGACTGAAAAGAAAATGTTGTTTTTGTGGCTGACCAGAGGTTTGTGTGCGGACAGAGCGGTAAGATTTTCAAGGCTTTTATTGCTCACAACGACACGAGGTGGCGGTGGGAACGAAGAGTGAGTAAGAGATGCCTGTTCTTGTCTGATAACATCTTTGTGGACCGCGTAGCAAACACTGCTGGAACTGTGAATCACAACATCAACACCAAATCCACACACAATGTAAGCGTACAGTGGTAGCACAAAAAAATACCACAGCAAATCAGCCTGCTGTCAAGATACACAGGAAACACCGCACAAGAGAGACTCAGAGCCTCCTCTCTTCTGATTGGCTCACCAACCAGTTGTTAGAGAGGAGATGTAAAACTACACTGAGATGGATTTTGGTTCTTAAAACCACAAATATATCTTCTTATGGATAAACCCTTCAAATAAAATACGGGACCTTTTAAAGAACCCCAAAACTTGAAATATTGTTGTTTTCAGGGCCACTCAGGTGTTTTATAGGGGAGCTACGTGCCAATTGGCTCCCTTGTAATTTAAACACTGATTAGAAGAACTATATAATTCTTCCAAAATGTTGAACCTCGTGCTATTCTTGAAAATACTTCTGTTGGAGACTGCTACTCTCAAACGGCAGTGAGAGACTCCTGAGCTTTCTGAATTTTAAAAACCATAACTGAGTGAATTTAAGAAGTTCATGGACGGTTAAAATTATTCTTCGAAGATTATTCTGGTTTTATTAAGCAGCTCTTTTTCAGTGACTCAACCTAAAAGCAACCACCAACCACTCTTTGCTTTATCAACAAATCTGGGACCCCTGACGGGCCGGCGCTGTGTACGACGCCTACCGCCATCTGTTGCAGGCTGCAGTTAGAGCCACGACGAGAACAACAGGGCAGATCTCTTGGTGCTCGGTGCTGCTAAGCTGCACATTCACTTGGTAAGGGAATGACTTGACAGGTGGAGAGGAGAAGGAGAGGAGGAGGTGGAGATGAGGGTCATAGAAAGGCAACAGGAGGAGTGTGTGTGTGTGTGTTTGTGTCAGTGGAGGGTCAGTCCCATAATCCATGCTGCACAGCTTTTAGCCAGGCTGAAGCAATGGGTGTATTACATTTAGAGGGCGGGATGAGTTCATCACAGTGAGTCAGAAGGCTGTTATACATACAGCGTGTACCTGGTCTTTAGAAAGTGTTCTGGCATTTGGCAGGGAAAGCAAGTTAGTGTGTTGTTGTTTAAACTTGATTTTCAAGATCAAACTTTGCAGGGTGACGTATGTCCACAAGAGGCCCGACACACTGCTGTTATGTTTCTGTTATAACTGTATTTTGGAAATCATGTGGCTGCCATTACTCTTTCCGCTTTTCTTTGCAACTTTTCACTGGCTTTTACTGTTTTTGGGGACTGGCTTGCTACAAACTACGTCAAGTTCAAATCCCTTTAAGTTTGAAGTTTTTCTGCCACCGAACGTGGTTTCTTGCCGGGAGCAAGCGGTGGTGACTGTCGCTCGACAAGAGCTTCAGCCATCACTGCGTTTACAAGACAAGAGGTTATAATGTGCCCTCTCAAGCAGCGCTACGTCTACAGGGCTGATTGGAGGCTACAGTGAGTCGCTATCGGAAAGTAACAAGACTGGCCGGTGGCTAGAGTGTTAGCATGCTAACTTCAGTAGAAGAAAAGATGTGATAGAGACAAGAGTTAACACTGGCGTTGCTTTCCGCTGGAGACAACTCTCTGTGAGTAAAGAAATAAAGTTTGATGCTGAACTCGCAACGTTTCTTCTTCACTAGTAAGTAAACAGCTGTTAATGCTAACGTTAGCTACGTAGCAATAGCAAAACTTAGAAATAGCTCCTTTAAAAACCAAACTCAAGTGTAAAGTCAACATGGACGAGGAGTCCTTACAGCGATCAGTAGCAACGTATATTTGAACATCTACATTTCCATGACAACTGGGCAAACTACATCTGCTGATGAAGATCACATGATATGACTGAAAGTGCAAGAACAGCCAAACTGTGGGCAGGCATATATAAGCATTTAGCTTCGGCCTCAGCCTGTTCAGTCAATACTTAACTTGACTTTGTTTTGTTGCTGTCTATATTGTTCATGTTTACTGTAGGGTTACAAAAAAATACTTCAATTCACTAAATGGAGCCTGTGTTCAGACTGCAAGGTCAAGAATGAATGTTGAACGAATGTTTGAAACTCAGAGAAGATATGCGGTGTGTATTCAACATCAGTCAAAGTTAATATTCGCACACTGGAGACAAAACAATCGTTGAATCTGACTGTACAGACAGAGATTATGTAACGGTTATGTGTTTGGTTGAGGTAAAGCTAGATATTTTGTACATGTGTTGGTGCATATGCATGTGTGTGTAGGGGGATGTTTCAATCCACCAGTGTGTGTGTGTGTGTGTGTGTGTGTGTGGGTGTCTGTGGAAAAAAAAAAAATCCCAAAGAACTTCAATCTGAAGCCAGTATAAGCCAAATCTGTTTCTGACAGCAGTGTCAGCGACTCCTGAGTTTTGCTTTCAGAGCCGCCGTTGAACCGCCCACAACCAACTGCACTGAAACAACAAGCGGCTGAATCGCTGCGTACCTGCAGGATGAGCACGAAGTAGTCGACGGGCTTGCCCCTCTGGTAGACGTAGTGATGGGGCGAGCGCTTGTCACTGTCGTTGAACTTGATCTCCTGGATCACGTCGGGATGGCGCAGGATTCGCAGCAGCACCTTGTCTGAGATCTGAGACGGGCTGAACAAGCTCACCTCTGCAGGAGAAGAAAAGAGAGACTTTTACTTTTACTTGAAGCTGACGATTTTTTTTTTTTTTTTTTTTTTTTTTACTGCTCTGCAACGTAAACTGTTAATTGCTGCGATTACTTTTAGTTGATTGGCTGACTGATCCAGGGACTTATTAAATTAGTCATTCGTGCCATTGTCTGGAGTACAACATGGAATTAAACAGTTACATGAACGGGCGTCATTTGTTCAGACAGCAGGTGAACCTACACTTCACAATGTAGCATGACACACTGATGACGACAGGCTCTGTCTCTACAAACTGAATTAATTAAGAGGATTATTGTTCAAGCAGAATTTAACAACGTATTAAGCATCTCATGTTATAGGTGAGATAAATGGAAAGTACATGAATTTGTATCAGTTAGAGTTTTCCGAATGCATTTAAATAAAGTTCAGCTCTTTGTCAAGTTTATGAAAAACACTCAAAAGTACATTGGAGCATTTCCTGGTTTCCTTAAGTGTAAGAGTATAGTTCTTTTAACAGCCCGATTTGAGCATTTCTGTTCGTTAGACGCTTGAAAATCTATTTATTTTTCTATTTTGCAAACTGAATAATCATTTTAGTCATTTTTTAACAAAAATATACCATCAACATCTGCTCATCTCAACGCTGCAGCTGTGAGGAATCTGTGCTTGTGTTTGTCTCGCATGATGACAGTTTTAATATGTTTGGCTTTTAAACTGTTGGTCGGATAAAATGAGACATTGAAGGACGACACCTTGAGCTGTGGAAACATATAACATGCATTTTCCCCTTTTTTCTAACATTTAATAGATAAAATGATTCATAAAGAAAGTGCACTCTGTACTTTTATCATCTTTAGACGCAACCTCATCTAATTAGCCAACATACTCATCTCCGATTGACTTAAATGTTCGCATTTCAGTGAACAGGCCCTTGAGAGCAGTGGAGTAAAAGTCAAATCTTTCAACAAAATGGAGGAAAAGGAAGTGAAAACATCTTGACCTCACCACAAAAGAAATCCCTCATCTTCCTTAAACGTTTACAACAGGTTTTGAAACTTGACGCACTGAGTCTGAGCTGCTTCAGAGAATGATCAGACTGAACTGTGAATTTATTTACAGTGCATTCGTATTTTTCCCCATGCTTATATTTTAATCATGTATGTGGTTATCTTTTCTTTGTCTGTTGTTGCCTTTGTTTTGTTGGTACCTGTTATCTTAAATAGAGGGCCCTTGTTTCTTATTGTTTTCTTATTGTTTTTTCAGAATGTAAATAATGGCTGAGTGAAAAAATTGTAAAGGTGAAACAATGAGTCGATTATTAAATTAGAAAAAATAATCAGCAAACTATTTACTACAGCTAATGAAAGGATCATTGAACATTTAAAAACATTACATAGACTCATCATCGCTAAAAACTAATCAACAGATTAATCAATAATAAAAATAATGGCGATAAAATAAAATAAAATAAAAAAAGATTCAGCATCAAGTTAAAAATGAGTTTTCTGGCCAACACTATTACATAACAATGATATTGATTAATGTGCAAAAAAAAAGACGAAATGAGAAATGGTGAAATGGTGAAATGTATTTGGTTTACATGCATTACTCAACTATTGCTAACCAGGCTGTTGCAATCAGCCATAAGTGCCTCGGTCTCCACCCAAACTGAGAACAAAGAAACCAACATACAAATAAAAGCCTATGCAACGCACAGTGAGAGGTGAGGCCTATATGACTGGTGGTGTCAGAATTCATCATCCAAACGGCAAACAAACTCCTTTCACTCTCTGCTCTTACATACTACGTCAACAAGGGGAAAAAATGTTCCATGACTTTTCAATGATTTTCCATGACCATTTCAGAAACACTCGAACAGCCTATGACTTTGATTTCAGCCAGAGAAAAACAATCTACAGACTGACTGAGCTTGTTGTTCCAAAACACAAAAGTAGGATTACACTGTGGTGCCCTAATGCACTAATAAAATCCCTTGATATTCCCTGACTTTCCCCTGTGTGGCTACATCTTTCAGTGATACTCGAGATATCCCCTGGAAGAAATCAGTTGTAACAGAACTCAGACACAGTCTAAAAACAGCTGGGTAGTGATCATTAATCTGAAGGAGAACAAAAAAAGGAAAAGAAAAAGGGAAGCAGTAACTTCCTGGACTGGAATGCATGACAAACTAAACAGAACCTCAAGAAAAATGAAAAATCGAATTCCTGCGTAATGAATCAAGACAGAAAATCGAGACCAACATCCTGAGAAAGAAAACAGAAACAAAGTAAGCAGACGCTGATGTAATGCCTGCAGAGGAAGACTCTGGCATGCTCCTACACCACAGTGTCTGTGAGACAAGGAGGTGCTACGTCATGCTAGCAGCAGCTAGTGCTAACTGCTGCTGGCAGAGCATATTAGCTAACACTCTCTAACCAGGCAGACTGCAACACATTCTCAAGTGATTTGCAGCGGCGACGGCTGCATCACTTCCAGCTGGCTGGAGTCCAGAGTCTGCTTGTGGTGGTAGGCACAGGCAGGCGCACACAGCTTGGGTCGTAAATAGATCCTCCAAATAAATCAACACAGTCAAACCTCCTCACTGCGAGTATGGACCTGCCCGGCTCGTCACATGGCAAGATGACAGAATCCATCTCTTACTGACATCCTGAGGAGAATCATGTAGCGACATATGTTCGAATGCACGCTTGGCTTACAGTTTATAAATGATCTACTGGCTGTGTGTGAGTAATACTGTGATAAGTGGGTTTGTGTGTGCACGGTTTCATCAGTATCAGTCCACTCCCCACCTGTGGCCAGGAAGCGATGGGCAGCGAGCAGCAGCTGAGGAGAGATCTTCACTTTTGATTCGCTCTCGTGTTTGAAGGCTGAGAAGTCTCTCTTGTTCTTATTGGGCGCCACCTTTTTCCTGGTGCGGTTGTCAGCTGAGAAGAGAGACACACACATGGCAGACCAAGTTATTCATTATAAAATGTATACACGGAAGATCAAGGGGTTTATGCATTCAGCAGAACATGTGATTTTACAGCAGCTAAACAGCATTGTAAAAATCATCTTAGCTCTTCTGCAAAGTAACAGGAGTCATTACTTTATCTGTCTAAATATCTGAAATAGTCTGTGGACATGCATCTCAAAGATAAAGCAACACCAATATAGATAATTAACATTAAAGTAATGAAATAAGAAAGTTTAAGATGAAAACAGCAAAGAGAAGCTGAGTGATGAGTCCGTGACAAACAAAAGCAAAGACGACTTTACTCACTGTAAAGGTCCGATTCATCCAGAATCTCTGATTTAATTATCTCCTCGATCACGTCCTCAAGGGTGACCAACCCTAACACTTCGTAGAAAGGATCTCCCTCCCCCTCGTTGTTCACCTTCTGCACAATGGCCAGGTGGGATTTTCCTGAGAGAGACAAAGACAAGCATTAGCGACGTTATCAGATCATTCCACTCATTACTTCATGATTTACAATCAGCGACAGAGCATGTCGGGCTGTAAAATCAGGACCGAGATGATAACCCCAGTTATTCTTCTGGATCTTGTGATCAGAACAATTTGTCTTGACAATAAAAGACAGAAACATGATGCGTTTCTATCAGCATGTGGATTATTTAAATCTACCATATATGCACATGAACCCACAAGCACTAGGGCGATGTTGATGGTTAATAAAAGGAACCCCATGAAGGACCCCTGGGGGTCCCCGGGGATTGTGGGAAAGGTTGAAAGATTACTGTCTGACTGATTGACTTGAAGTATTAACTCTAGATTAACCAAAAACAGACTTTCCTGTTTGTTTATTTTATCCATAAATTAATTTTCAATTAATTTTCCTGAAAAAAAAGTTAGATATCAGAAAAATCTCTATATTATTATCACAATATAAATGTTTTGCAAATGTTGTATGAGATTGGAAATAGCATTCAGCTGAGTGTGTTAGACCCATATAGTACATTCAACATTTACTGTAAACAATGAAAACCACAGGACAAACCGTCAAATGCTGCCATTACTGCAAGTCTGTAAATACTGTGAACTAAAAATGAAAAACGTGGTTTGTTGTCTGTAATAATAACAACATTCATTACTAAAATCAGAGGAAACCTCTATGCTGCTGTGTAACCACCACATATATTTCTTGTCGTGTGACCCTCCAGTGTTTCTCACCCAGGTGAAGCTGGTTAGTTTGTTCTGGCTCCTGGTGAACTGCTGCACGAACTGGCAAACACTGTGTCACAACTGAGCATATGTAAACAGCTGCAGAGGCAGAGCCAGGTAATAAAGTGAAAAATGCACCGATGATATCAACGCTACAATCAAGTCTTGCTCATGCTGGTGCGTCAGGTAAAAGCTTCCTCCAGGTGCGTCTGATCGCTGACCCTTAAAGATACTTGAACGCTCTGAATCTACATCTTCCTTCAAAATAATGCAGCAAACAACGTGATGAAGGCTGATGTGTGCACTTTAAAAGTTGGTGATCTCTCAGCAGATGATGTAATGCAGAGCTCTGGCTGTTAGAAAGCCATGTTGGCGTTCTAAATATCATTGTTTACCTTCTCTTCTGTAGAGGTTTGGACATATAACAGCTCTTAGTCATAGACACACGTCAGACCAGCGCTGTACGCTGCAACATGCAATCCCTGCCGAGCCCCTCGGTCATGACAAACAATCATATCATGATGGATTCCTGTCTGATAACGGCTCTTTTCTAACATTAACCTATCTGCACACTCGCTCTGCTTGCAGCACAAAAACCCTGTTAATGTGTACAGGTCGTTAGAGCCGGGGTTGGGTCTGGACTTCGGCCACAAACGTTACTGTACAACACAAAAAAAAAAACACAGGTGCACAGAGAGAGAGACACACACACACACACACACACACACTCGGCTGGATTCGTCACATGATAAACTCTTCAAAGTGCAGACAGACGCTGGCTGGGCCACAGCGCCGTATCCAAACAAGTGCTGGGTCGGCCTCGGTGATGCTCTAAATTATTAATGATGCTGCCAGTAGGAACCACTCACAGGATATCTGGGGGTTTGGTCCCCGAGTGAATCACACACCTCTCGACCCAGGCAAACACACAGCGCACATATGAGGATACACATGAAAGCAAAGGTTTAAACTGCCCTCTGTCTCACACGCAATTAGTTTGTGTGAACAGCAGGACAGGTGAAGGCGAGTGAGGCCACTTGGCACTGTCTTCACTGTCGGTCAAAACAACATTTTAAATGAGTCTCAGTCGTACCACACAAACACGTTTTATTCTTATTCTCCCCAAAACCACAAGCTGTCCCTTTGTGGTGAAGGATAAGACAAAAGAGAGGAAGAGGTAAAGAGAGCGAGAAATCACAAAGGTCCATCGACTGTTTCCAAAAAGAGAGCAGCAGATCAATGGGATTTAAAAAAGAGCAATTAAAGGAAGACCAAGGGCTTTAAGTGTTTTTTCTTTGTGTGTGTGTGTGTGTGTGTGTGTGTGTGTGTCCTTGATGTCTGCCTGCTTGTCCTGGCAAAGTGGGCGCTGCTGGCACAATGACAAACACACACTCCTCACGCTCTCAGCTTTGACCTTGCTCGGGTTTTTTTACTACGCGAACGGAGCAGAGAGACTTTGAGGAATCCATTTCCCACCGGGCTGGCTTTTATTGTGGGAGTCTGTCATCTGATGTGATGTCACGGCGCGAGATGGGCGGGAGGTGGGTGGATGATGTACTGTGTATTTAGTCTGGATGTTGAAGTCTCGAGAGGAAGCAGCAGCGTGGCCCCGACATTCATCGTTGGCTGAGTAACAAGTCACAAACAGTTCAAACGGCTCTTACTGGGGGTTTTTTTTTTTCTTTTTTCTTTTCGGAAAATCCATTTATCATTTCGGCTGTTACATGTCTGACACAATGACGAGTGTTTCTCACAAGTTCCCAGCGCAAACTGGTGTTTTCAACAAGCTTGTTTTGACTGTAAAGAAAGGAAAAGAAGAAAACCAATCTGTGTTTGAGAAGCTGTGAACAACCAATCAACTCATCGTTCAAATCCAACATGGTAGACTGACTACAATCAAATCAAACAGACCTGCAACTACTGATTATTTTAATTATCGATTAATCATTAGCCACAATAACAACTATAACAACAATGACAGCGGCAAACGACACCGGTGGACGTCCACGTTCAGAGCAATTTAATGAGTGACAGAAACACTGACGGCCAATCAAAACACATCATCAAAGTGACTTAATGTATGTTATGATTTGAATATGAGGGTGTGTTTGTTCCTCACAGGAGGGTGGATTAGTAAAACATATTTTCTATCAGCTATAAAGTGTGGCCTACGTATTGAAATAAACAGCATCTCTGTCTCTCTCTCTCTCAACTTTTCAACTGTTTTGTAATCTATTCGTATTCTTATTGATGATAAGAATGATAAATAAAAGCTAAATCAAGAGCTTTATCAATGTTGTGTTTGCTGTTTCTGGCTACCTCTTTTATATTAAGCTGATTGACGGTATAGGAAACACTTTCAGGCGCAGTGTAAAAGGTCATCAACATCCGACACAGCTGGAGCGCGCAGCGTGTGCTTAGCGCCTCTGTTTACAGAACAATATAGTTCATCAGTGTGGACGCTCACATCCTTATTGTTATAGGTATACTTATCTTTCCTGGGGAGCACGGCCCTTAAACGCGATAAAATTGGTGATTTCCAGAAGCAGTGGAGCTTAGACAGCGGAGTTTAGTGACATTATACATCGCAGGAGTGTGGGCACGGAGAAGAGAGAAGAGAACGAGTGTAGCATTTTAATACACATTATATACCACCAGTGTGTATCACCCTAAATGCAGTAAAGACGTCATGACCAATGACTAATCCCATCTTTCTGGTCCTCACACTTTTTTCACTAAAGATTAATTTCTTGATGTTTTATCTCCAAACCGCAAAACCGTGTTTAATCAAAACTCACATCACACGACGGAGGAATAATATAATTTCACGGGGTCTTTGGGGTGTGATTGTGACAGGATGGAGAATGTTTGTCAACTGTGTCCCACGCTAAGGAAACCTCTGAGCACATTCATTAGATGATTGTTGTTCATTCCACACGAGATCACTGTAGCAACCAAAATAGAGACATCATGTAATGGAAAAGGCACTCTGTGTGTGTGTGTGTGTGTGTGTGTGTGTGTGTGTGTGTGACCTCTCCCTGTGGTGCTGAGTCAATATTTCAGAGGAAGTAGGACCCCAGGGGACATACTTACCCCCAGTCACTGCACAGTCACTTGAGAGTCTATTGACTTCTTCAGAGCATACACACTCACACACACACACACACACACACACACACACACACACACACACACACACACACACACACACAAAGGCAGTTCAGCCAAATACATGCTGCTTTATGTGTTCAGTGTTCTGACCCGTGTCAGCTGAGTCTACAATTAAAAAACAAAAACCCACAGAGTCGCCCAGCTCCTGTGCGCCCGTGGCTGCTGATTTTCAGACGAGATGTGTTTGTCACGAAACACGGCGCAGCGCGCTCACCTCAGGCCCAAGCAGAAACACACACAGCTGTCACTTATCAGCCTGAGAATCAGACATGACAGGAGAGTGTTTTTGGTTAAAATCCATCCCTCCGTCGGTTTACACAGTCACGCTGTGAGCCGAGGCGACAGTGGACACCGTCGGCGCTCCTTGACTTTGCAAAGTGTTTAGACTGGTCACCTCTGAAGTCACTCATGAGCGCTCAGTTTGTGGGATGACCTTGTATTAACTGCTCTTCTGCAAGTTTTCAAGCTTGAAATTGAACTTGGAATATCACTTGAGAGAATTTGAAAGGCAAAATAAAGTTAATAAAGTTAAAGGGTTTTAACCAAACCACACGCACACGCGCACACACGCACACGCACACACACACACACACACACACACACACACACACACACACACACACACACACACACACACACACACACACACGCTAGCAAGCTAACAGTGCAAGGCATTGGCCTAACCATCAGGAGCAGCTGAGCTTCAGTGTTTTGCTCAATGACACATGGACACGAGGAGCCGGGGATCAAACGGCCAACCCAGTGATTAATAAAACTGGATTGAAAAAACGATTCTCCGATTTAAATCAATGTATCATTTTTCATTTGAATAATCAAATATCGATTCATAAAATCCCGAGATCGATAGGAGAGACGTGTGAAGCTGTAATGTGAAATCATTAATCACTTAAGCAGACTGTTTAATTTTCTGTCAATTGACTAGTTGATTGACTAATTGTTTCAGCTCTAAACCTACATATCAATCAATACATCCATCTATCATTCTTACTATTGTCATCATCATCATCATTTCAAGCAGCCTCCTACAGAGACAGTGTGTCTCTGAAGCTTCA